CCAATGTAGGTAATTACCTTCTGTGTCTATAAATTGCAGCCCCCTGCAGTTTTCAATTGGGTACAGTATTGTTCTACCCTTCCTGGCTGAAATTGTTGTGCGATAATGCTCCATGTCATTAAACAGCTGCCGTCTGTCACCTTACAATGAAGTCATTCCTCTCTAAACAATGAGTTTATAAAGCCCTTTTGGGTCTTTCCAGACAAAATTTGCTCGTAAACCAGCAATTATGATCTTTGGAGTACATTAAGGTGATGCTTGGCTGTCTCTCTTGACAGCAGTCAGAAGCCTTCAAATGGGTGTTGTCCCTTTTGTCAGTTTGTGTGACATCCTGGCAGTGATGCCACAGCTCAGGTGTAAATGCTTTATTGCTGTAAAACCTTGGTGCCTGTAAATATCTCTGCACTGGGTTGGATTTAGTTGTCATTACACTTGGAACTTGTTTATTACCATATTCTTGTTCTGTTGGCTCTTAGAGGGAATTCAGATATCTTATGGAACATGAAAAAGGCAAATCCCCAGCAAAATGATAAAACCACAATAATAGGGTGAGGCTTGCAATATGAATTAACCAAAAAAGAACAGTAGGAAGGTTCTGGGTAGGGTTAAAACAGATTTGGCAAACAGGTGTCATGTAAATCCATTTGGTCCCCGTTAACAGCTGTTTTTCAGCACCTGATTTGACACTGGGATCATTAATGGAAATTAATGTGGATTAATGCCAAAGCTCTTAACAGTGATGAATTTAAGAGAGTCTGTTTTAATTCAGACATTTTTTTCTGAAGGCTACTTCTCTGTCCTGAGTGGGCAGTTCACTTTTAGCAGTTCTGCAGTAATTAAAGATATGAATGGGAGAGACCAAGAGGGCATCTGCTAGGTTTTTCTGGTGCTCCTGCTGAAGCAGCAGGGATATTAAAACAATCTCTAGCTCCTCAAGAGTGGCCCTGTCATCTTGCTGAAATGATGGAATGGTAGTTAGGTTATTAGAAGAAAAATTGGCACAAATTGAGAGAGAGGATGCTCTGGCAGCAACCACAAGCAGCCAGCGACTCAGTGTCTTAATCTCTGCCCTCAGGCTGCTCTCTATGATACAGATGACACCTTGTCAGTGAAGATGATGTGCTGGGTCACCCCTGAGTCCAATGGGCTAAATTGGCCATGGAGGGAAGGATTGCTACAGCACAGAGCCACATAATCTAATTTTTTTATTTCTTAGATTCTTTTCTTTTCTTTTTTTTTTAATGTATGTCATCATTTGGGTACTGACAGTAAGTGCCAAAGGATCGCATTCTCATTAGTGTCCCCTAGACACAGCTATCTCTGTACACTTGTGCCTTCAAGAAATAGTTCTAAGTCTTCACAAGGCTTGCTTTGCTTCCATCTGGAAAGTTTTACATGTAGTTTTACATTGACTTATTACTTCTGGGTACAGCAGAAGGGGAGATAGGGGAAGGAAGAAGCCACTTCCTTTGAGAGCCACTGTGTTGGCAAAGAGAAGTAAAAGCCCTACAGCTCTTAGCAGTCAAGAGGTCTTAGTGTAGAGCAGTAATGTTCATTGGATGAAGATGAAAGGTGGGAGGAGATAAGGGAATTCCTCTTAGAAGGGAACATTTGCAAAGGATCAAGCATATTTGGCTGGAACCCAACAAGTTCTGTGACAAACTGAACCATCAGGCAGGTGTGGTGTATAATTTTGTTCCTCAGTGGAGCCTTCCAGTGCACTGCAGGGATCAGATCCGTAGAATCTATAAAATAGGTGGTTTTTCCCCAGTGTTATCTCTCTGCTGACTTATTCACTTGTTCATTTTGTCTGCATTGGCTGTAGTCCTACACCAGCTGCCAAAGCTGGGTGAGGATACTACTCCAAGTGTCATTGCTGCAAAGTGTTCATGAGCTCCTCAAAATCCCAACAGTGAGACTTGGATTCCCACTCTGAGGTGTCTGAGAGCCTTGGTTTGCATTGAGATCAAAAGGAGTGCAGTTTAAGAAGAAGCCCAGCTGTGTTTGTAAAACTGAGTGCCCTCTCTGTGGCCTGAACTTGTCTGTCAAACCTCCAAAATGCTGGCAGCTCAGTCAAGTCCCTACCTTGTGGTAGAAAAGTATTTTAAAGAAGAACCTAAATTATACTTCATTTTTCCCTGAGTCTGCAGGAGTTAGTGGATTGACAGAGCTGTCAATGGATGGTGGAATTTAGTTTGGAGAAGTTTTAATGACTTACTCAAGTTAATGCAGGCAGTGAGTGACAAAACCTGTCCCCTGGAGCTTTGCATCGTAGTGTATGGCACTGACGCCTTGAGTCAGAGCTTTTAACCATCTTCAGGCAATAAAGCACTTAAAGAATATGATCAATGTAATTCAACTTCGGTCCCAACAAAATAAGAAAGGGCTTAAACGTTCCGTGCAATTAGAAGAGAGCTTGGCCTGTGCATAAACCTTTAGCTCAAAGCAAGAACTTGATGCTAATAGGGCCATTTACCTGAGAAAACAGGTATTAGTGTTTGGCTTTGTGCTTTCCTAAAAAATTGGCTGATTAGCAATGGAAATTGTGGGGCACTTGGTGGTAAAGGTGGTTTTAAGGAAAGGTGGTTTAAAGGAACAAGCAAAGGAATAAACTTGTTATTCTTTATTAAACATGACCCTAGCTGTAATTCTGGGCTAAGTAGCAATTGTGTATGAATTTCTTAAAGAAGGGATCCAACAGAGAGAACAGATGAAGGGCATACATTAAAATGGAACTCAATACAAACAACACAGAGAATAAATGAAGTGAAAAGTCAAGCCAATTTATGAAAGAAAATAGTTGACCATGCCCAGGGCAGAGCTGGGAGCTTAACTAAACTTCTACCTTTTCTTTCAAAATAACATATAAGCGTTTTCCACAGTTACTTTAAGCTATGGGTCAGGGACTTTTCAACCTCCCTAGCAGGGAGGTTGTTTGACAGATTGAGTTTTACGTAGAGGAATAGGAATTGAAAAGAAATAATTGGGTGATTTTTTAGAGGTTTAAGTGTCACATGGGTGCCTACTGCTCCATGAAAGTCTTGAAAGTTGTTCCCATTAACTATCACTCAAGTGAGTCAGTCATAGTTTTTCTGTTTCTTGGCAATTTTAAGGGGGTGGTTGTTTGGATGGTTGGCTTGGTTTGGCTTAAGTGTTGTCTTTGTAAGGAAATGCAGTTTCTAAGGCCTAGAGAAGTCACAATTCCTGCAGGTGAACTTGTGACCTGCAGAACTTATTCAAAATGAAGAGCATTTGCAAGACAAGATATTTGTAGATGCAATGTAATGTAAAAGTTTGGACCAAATCTTGGAGTCTCTTACTCAGGCAAGATTCCTGCTAGAGTAGTAGGAATTTTAGCCATTTATGAGAGTGATAAATGCTGTTGTCTGCTGATCCATGTTGAAAGCACTTCACAAGGGATGATCAAACTTCTTGCTGGTGGTGTAAAATGTGCCTTTAATATAACTTTCTCCTTCCTGCCTGTAAGCAGAGAAAGTGCTAAAGTTAATACAGGCATATTAATGTGAATTATGCTTTCAAGGAGATGAAACACATGAAACAAAATAATTTGTCTTCACACAGGTTATAGCCCTGAGACAGGGGAATTGCACAGAGCTGTTTTCTTCTCACCACTCTTAGATTTTTTTTTCACATGTAAAATATGATTTTCTGGTTGTGCAGATTCTGAGCTCTTCCAAGTCCTCCAGTGGGCATTCACTCCTGAACAATCATCAAACAGAGAAATTCTAATTAAAGCCAAGTTTTTAAAAAGTGGCAGGTGGCTCTGAAATGCCTGAATTCTGCCATGATCAGCTTCTGACATTGCTGCATACAGGCCATTTGCCCCCTCTCCCTGGTGGAAAGATGGGGGGATGCTTGAAAATTCATGCATCATTAGTGTTCTTTCTTGAAACTGAAACATCCAAAAATCATCAGCACTTTTGGAATTTCTAGCCAAGTAATTAGTTGAAAATACTGTCCTTAATTATCAAAAATGCAAGGAGGGAGAGGGAGGAGGGAGTGATGTATTTTTATTTTTGTTCAGTATTTAAAATTATTTATTTTCTGTGTAAGAGTACAAATTCTCCTAAACCGTGATCTATCATTTGTCTCCCAGATTAGATTATTTTTTTTTCAGAAGTTCTTTTTCCCTGCAAAAGTGTGGTTGTTTTGAACTTGCATTTAAGACGTACATCTGGAGATCAGATAGGCTAAGAATTTACAGGGGGTGAAAGTGTTCAAAAATTTGATCTCCTTTTGCAGGGCAAAAGAAACTTTTTGAAGCAGCATTTGAATTTCCACAACGATGTAGGCAGTTTTGCCACTGCCGTCTCTTTTTGATTTGTGCTATTTTTTTATGGCAGCAATAAACACTATGCTTTAAACTGGGTCTCTCCAGACTGCTTTTCCTTTTTAAAGAGCGTAGGCAACTAATCGGCAGCAACCAGCCACATAGCTGGAGTGTTTTCCATTCTAGGCAATATCAGACTAATTTGATGCACACATGGATGCTTCACACAATCTGCAGATTCATCGCTGGCATCTTGCATTAGTCATCTGACAGATTGCCAAGTGTTTCATACTCCTTTCATGTGACTTTATTACAAAACACACACACACATAGACACACGCACTGCCTGGTTTCTGCCAGTAGCCAGTTTAGTGAGAATTCACTGCAGTTCTGTTTACAACAGCCATGGAGAGAAAGCTGCACTTATTTGCCACTATCCTCTACTTTAAAATGCAGAAATCCTGGGTTGTGTTGTGCCGCTCTCATCTTATATAATGACATTAAGCAGCAGCCTGCAGAGAAAACCAGACTCAATGAAAAATGTAATAGCATTGTTTTTTGTTTGTAATACTTATGCTATTAATTAAACACTGATTTTTTTTTTTTCTGCTTTGTGCCAATTGACATCATCTTCTGCATCTAGTGCATATGAAAACTGCGTAGTCTCCTAACTTGTCTTCTCTTTTTAATCTCCTTTTCCACTTTCTAGTAACGGCACAGCTAACAAGATGAATGGAGCTTTGGATCATTCAGACCAACCAGACCCAGATGCCATTAAGATGTTTGTTGGACAGATTCCCCGTTCGTGGTCAGAAAAAGAATTAAAAGAACTTTTTGAGCCTTATGGAGCTGTCTACCAGATTAATGTTCTCCGAGACAGAAGTCAGAACCCTCCCCAAAGTAAAGGTACAGTAGTTATGCTCTCTTTGCTTTCAGTTTGCTTGTTTTCCCTATGATCTTGCTTCCTTCAGCATTTCTAGAGAGGTTTGCAGCGGGGCTTTAGGTTTTGTAGTATGCTGTGTTGAGCTGTGCAGCAGTCCTAAGAGGAGAGGACTCATGAATCCTATCGGATATTGCCTTCCTCCTCTTCTTAAGCTGAAGTTTATTATCTGTTATCTGGAAGCATGTGTTCCAACTGTGCAAAAAAATAATAAAATATGTCTCTCTTTGTTTAAATTATCGTTGCCAAAAATGTGGAAACCTGAGAGGTTGCTTCCCAGGATTAGCTCATGAAAAATATAATTTTCTATTTCCTTTCATTTCCTCTCTTTGCACCCCAGGTGGGAAATATTTTAATGATACAGAAGGGAAAAATTATGATGGTGGGTTCTTGCCACATCATTGCTCCAACAGCAATAAAAATTACAAACAGCCACCCTGCCCTTTTTCCAAAATGTGATTTTTTTTTTTCTGCAGTCATGTTAAAGGATTATTTTTTGGCATTGATATTGTTCTAAATGAAAGAGTGACTTTTCCTTCCTGCATTTTTTCTATACACACCTAAAGTATTTGTCCCTAACTATATTCCTTCCTTTCACTACATATATCTGTGCTTGTTTAGGCACATGAGAGTTCTGTGCATTATAGCTGTTTAAGTGTGACACGTGCTTACATGTAAGCTGAAAGTGAATATTTTAGTTCACAGAATGCATTTTCCTCCCTACCTAGCTGCATGTTTTGCTTCAGCCTTGGTATGTGAGAGCGTTGCTGCTGTTAGAAATAATTAGCATAGCTCAGAGGCAGAACTGGATGTGCATGTGTGTGCCTGGCTGTAAGGTTGCTATTTCTTATTTACACTTATTTACACTTCTTACTGCACTCCTGCCACTGACTCTAAAAACCTTCAGAGCACACGTGCTATGGGAGAATATCACAGAATGATTTTGTGGGCTCACAGGAAAGTTAACAGTGTAAAACAGCCCTTGCTGGAGATGAGAGGTGCCTGCTGTTGTGGGAGGCACACAGCACAGCCTTGAGTGCTCCTGTGCTTTTGGGCAAAGTACTGCCAAGGCTCAGCATATCTCCATTTTCCTGGTACTGGGCAGAGGATCCTCTCAGTGCCTTCTTTTTGCTGCCCAGTTTAAGCAGTTGGGTGCTTTAAGTGACCATGGTTTATTTTGGGTTGCTTGCATCTCTCACTTCTAGTTAAAAGACTTGGTGCATTGGTCCCACACCAGTGTCACAGAGGAGGTCTAGCTCACTGTACCTTCCTGCTATTCAAGTGTCTGTGCTAGATCACTCTTCCCCCTTCCCCATCTCTGGAAGTTTTCAAGGGTATGTTGTGGGAACAACCTGCTCTAATGAAACATGTTCCTGTCCATGACAAGAGGGCTGGAATAAGGTGCTCCTTAAGGTCCATTCCAACCCAAATCATTCCATGATTCTGTGATTCAGAAGCAGAAGATATTTCTGGTTGGAGTGTTCCAGTGTAGTTCTGCTTCCAGCCCACCCCCCCATCTCATTTCCCAGGACTGATGTATTGTAGCATGTACCCCCCTACTGTGTTAGCACAGAGCCCTCACCAAATGTATTTTTCTTGTAATGCTGGATAGGAGAGCATTAAGAGGTCAAGCAACTGGATTTTCTGCAGTCCAGGCTGCTATGGATGAGCAAACTCCTCCTTAGTTTAAGCCATTAAAATGCTGAACTTAGAGACTCGTCCATTTGGAAGCTGCTGATTCTTGGGTCACAGCAATGCCTTCCCACTAAGCAGTAAATGAAGTGAGAATGATATTGTGGTTAGACAGAGGAAACCCATTGATACCCATTTCTGGGAACCACTGTACCTGTCCATCAGGCAGCTGGAAGGCATAAGGATGAAACATAGATCATGCAAATCATTGTAGACTAATTATCAATGTTTGTAGTCCCATATACAATATTCTTTTTGAAAGGTGGCTGGGTTTTGGGGATGCTTTTTGCTTGGACTCTTTTCAGCCATGCAGAGATTATGCTTGTCACTTCAGGCATTATGTGTTAATTAATGAGTAAATGAAATTAATCCTGAAGATATGCAGAATAACCTTCAGACTTACTTTTCTCTGGCACCAGCAGCAAGCTCCTCTGGTGGTCAGCTTTTCCCTCAGAAGCTTTGGAGGAAGGTATCTCCATGCTGGCTCTATCCTTCCTCCTGACTGAGTCTGTCAGTAAAGTTGCTAGAAACCTCTTGAGTTTCTTGTGGATATCTCTTGACTAGGAATGATCTTTATTTTCTCAATCCAGTTGCACAAAGGATTCGGTGTGAGAGATTGTTAAGAATGTTAGAAACAAACAAACTGAAAAATTGCCCTGAAAAACATCCTACAGTCTTCTTTTGTCACAATTCATGACAGTTCTTCACCTACACTATCTACTAAGCATTTAAAAAAGAAACTGAATTTTCTTTTTTTTTGTTTGGAGGTCATAGAATACCCTGAGCTGGAAGGGACCCACAAGGATTACAGAATCCAACTCCTAGCTATGTACAGGACAAATCATGTGTCTAAGGTGGAATTAAATTCCATGCTCCTCTTCTGTGTAAATATCCATAAAACAACCATTTTTATTTAATTTGAGTTGGTGGGTGGATTTGGGTTGTGCCACGCATTTTTCTCCCTGCTGACCCTTTGTATCACCTCCAGTTTTGTAAACAATCCATCCAGGGGACCTGGATGGGTGAGGTAGAAAAAAGTCCATTTTTCTTTTCATTGCATGGTTGGGACTGTGTGTAAGACAGAACATTCACAGCCTGGTGTCACACAGAAGTTTTTTTCTGAATATGCTGCAAGCCATGAGTTGTAATGACAGGAATGCAAGTTGGTGTTACTACACCACACAGAGGGGAGCAGTCAGGTTTTGCTCTTTAAAGAAAAGCATTTTGATTTTTGAAAGATTCCTCTCTTCTCAGACAAGGGTTGTGCATTTCTGTGAGCTTGGCCAAAGGGGCTTCTCTAATTTGGACCGAGTTTTTCTCTGATGAACTGTTTATGAAGCTGCAATCTGAGTCTCTCCCAATTCTGTCAAAAATAACCATAGGCTGCTTCTCTCTCTCCTGCTGTTATTCAGACTGTCTTTCATACCCTCCAACGACAGACGGCCTAGTTCATGTCTTCCCTCCTCTTTTGTATCACTTGCCAGCTCTGCAAAGCTGAGGCTGGAGGAAGACAGGTAGAAAGCCAAGTTTACCTCACTCTGGAAAACCAGAGGAAAGCCATCTTAATTCCACAGATATATTGATACTACTGCAAATGTTGAAGCTTGGCTTTATTAGCTGGGAGCTTCAGGAATGGCTGCATTCTAGGAAATTCCTCATCCTTTCCAGAGCTTGCATTTCTCTGCTTCTTTTGGATGTGTGGAAGAGCTCAGCAGAGTAATTAGACTTTGTTTTTCTCTCCTGTTGTTTTGGAAGGCTTTTCCCTCTTTCTGCAACAAAAGAAATCCAGTGGATTAGGTAAACTAAATAGGAAAAAAAAAAAACAACACCTCCCCCAGCTCCCCACCCCCCCCCCCAAAAAAAAAAAAAAACCCAAAAAACAGGGCACAAAATTCTATACCACTGAAATAAATGGCACTTTTGGCTTCTGGGGGCCAAGGGGATTCAAAGTCTGGGCATATCAGCCCTCTCTGTTCCCAATCCAGCTTGCTCCCTTTATATAATTTTTTCTGGGTGAATAGATGACTTTTTTTCAGAGTAGTTGTTAAAAAGAGTTTCTCTAATATCTCAAATGCAGCAAACTCCGTGTGAAGGCAGCACACGCTGCCACCAAGATCTCTCTTCTTCCCCACTGTTTTCCTAAGCCGGAAAGATTTCCTTGGCTGCTTTGGTTTTGAAGTCCAAGTGCTGAAGCAAGCAGATGGTGCAGGGCTACTTTTGTCTTTTGAAATGCAGCAGAAGAGTCTTGGGCCAGATCCACTATGTCCTTTTGGCACCTTGCCTCTGCTTCAATACCTGATAATTCTTGGAGGGATCAAGGTCCCCTAAACCAGCTTTGCAAGCCTGAATTTCTTTGTGCTGCCATAGGAATCACACTGCAGAAAGCAAGGAGAGGCACCTGGGTAACAACTGACTCCGTGTTTGCTTGTAGCCTTTTACACACCCTTTATCAGATTAGAGGGAGGCTGCTGAGTGAGCAAGGATGTGCTGTAGTTAAAGGCCAGTGTTTATTATTATCCTATTTAACATGGTAATTTAAGTCTACTGGGAGGTGAGCAGAGGATTCTGATAATGAGGCATTCATGTGCTGCATACAGGAGAGACCAGGTGGGCAAGGAGGTGTATAGGTGTGTACAGTTACACACACATATATATATAGAGAGAGAGATGCATATAGGAGGTAGAAGTTACCTGGCTTGCTTGAGCACCACTTCAGCCTCAGTTTAGCTCTTCCAAAATAGTCTGGTGTAGGCAGGGGGGACGATCCCTCTCCTCCAGCAGATCCCTGTCACAGTGCCTGGTACGGTGGGAGCAAAGGGAACTCGGGCAGTCCTGCACAGCAGCAGAGCTGTGGAACTGACTTTGTCACACATTCCCATCCTGAGTGTCCTAACCTGCCGCAAAGACCAGCTGCTCCTTGTTCCTTGAATGCCCCTGTGACACCACACAGCAAATTGCACCCTCTGCTCCTTCAGGCACTTTCAATACATTGTGTTTGGCAAAACTTTTTAGATGCTCTTTAAAAGCTCCCTTCAGCCAGCACTCCAGGAGCTGGGGTTTCTCTACACTTCATGTCTTATTTTGTGTTTTGAATGCTCTCAGAGGCCCACATGAGCACTGTTTAGCTTTTGAGATCAGATGAGTTGCACCATGAGCATATTTGCTGTTCAAATTGTGCCCACAGCCGTTGTGCATGTGTGTCTTAGACTAAATTTTGGTGATGCTGGCTGACACATATTTTGTTACTATGCAGACTTGAAATCTTTTCCTGCAC